GGCGGGCCGCCCGCGCCCGGGTTACCATCTTGATTCCTGCCGTGGCCACGCCAGAGGGGCGTGCCTGGCTGGGGTGTCACTGACTGGGCGGAGGTAGTTCGGGTTGTCGCTTCAGGGCCTCCCTCCTCTGCTAACCGCGGCCCAGGCGAAGGTTTGTTGACAGGGAATCTGTGGGCCGCCGGGTCAGCCAAAGATGGTCGCTCCTCACGGGGAGCAAGGGTCGTAGGCGTCGGCGCGGCTGACAGGACGGAGTTGACTTCCCTGTCAGCGGCTCGTGGCATCTTTATAGGTAAAAAAGAAAAGGTCTTCCCAGGCAGTTTTGAGGTTTTTGGTCGTCAGACTGTCCCTTCACGAGTAGCTCTCTGGCCTCGTAGCTCCCGAGAGAGGAGAGAGAGAGAGAGAGGAGAGGAGAGAGAGAGAGAGAGAGAGAGAGAGAGAGAGAGAGAGGAGAGAGAGAGAGAGAGAGAGAGAGAGAGAGAGAGAGAGAGAGAGAGCAGGGTTTATTTTGGTTGAGGTGCCAGGTGCGCTTCCTCATTGTCAAGTCAATGAGACGGACGTGGTTGTGGGTGTGGGGAGATGCAGAGGCGGCTCCCCCGCTACCATCTGGAGTGTAGGGGAAAAAAAGCGTCTTGCCAGGGAGTTACATTAGGCAAGTTTGACTTGGAGCCCATCTATGTTGTAGTTTCTCCGCCTAAAAAGAAAAGAATAGTTTATACCTACAGGGTTTTTCGGAAGAATAAATGAATTAGACAAAGTATTAAAAATAGTTTGGCCCGGGTGGTGCTGGCGCATGCCTTTAATCTCAGCACTCAAGAGACAGAGACAGGTGGATCTCTGTGAGTTCGAGGCCAGCCTGATCCACAGAGTGAGTTCCGGGACAGCCAGAGCTGTTACACAGAGGAACCCTGTCTAAAAAGAACATCAAAACCTGGAGTTTGCACAAGGCCCTGAGTTTGATCCTCAGTAGCTCTCTGAGATCTGTGTGTCAGAGGTTAGAAGACAGTATATTTCATGTAGCAGTTTCTCAGCAACCCGTGCCTACACACGGGCCAGGCCTGGTTCTAAGGAAGGTGTCAGATCCTCTGGAACTGGAGTTATGAACTGCTGTGAGGGTTCTGGGAACTGAACCTCTTGAAGAACATGGCAGTTATCTTAACCACTGAGCCGTCCCTTTAACCGCTTAACTTGAACTTGCTATTTATTATTATTATTATTTATTATATTATTATTATTATTATTATTATTTTGTTTTTCTAGACAGGGTTTCTCTGTGTAGCATTGGAGTCTATCCTGGTACTCACTCTGGAGACCAGACTGGTCTCAAACTCAGCGATCCGCCTGCCTCTGCCTCCTGAGTGCTGGGATTAAAGGCATGCACCACCAAGGCCAGGCAATTTTATTATTATTTTTTATAAAGAGGTCCTAATATGTTGTCCCAGCTTACCTGGAACTCCTGGACTCAAGCAATTGCACTGCTTCAGCTTCCTTCAGCAGCTGGAACTGTGGACATACACTACCTCGATCCAGTTTATCATGCTTTTATATACTTTAAATAAAAGTACCCATTTTGGGGCTGGAGATATAGCTCAGTGGTAGAGCATTTGCCATGTGTGAGCCCTAGGTTTAGTTTCCAGTACCTAAAATCCCATGTAACATTCCTTTGTATATAATGTATATATAATGGTATACTTGGACCTTAATTCTTTGTCATGACCAAAAGTATAAATATACACATACATAATATTTTTGTTTTGTTTTGGGGAGCAAGGTCTTACTGTAACCAAGGGTGGTTTCTATACCCCACTCTTTTGAGACAGGGTCTAACTAGTAGCTCTGGCTGGCTTGGAACAGACTACATACACCAGGCTGGCCTTGAACTGACTCCTGCCTCCCAAGTGCTATAATCAAAGGCGTGTGTCACCCACCATGCCTGGCCAGGTCTCCAACTCTTAATATTCCTGCCTTGGGATTTCAGGTGCTGGAGTTACAGATATATGCCAACATCTTTTAATCAAAAGTTTTGTGTGTGTGTGTGTGTGTGTGTGTTGTTTTTAGACAGGGTTTCTCTGTGTAGCCCTGGCTGCCCTGGAACTCACTATGTAGAACAGGCTGGCCTTGAACTCAGAGATCTGCCTCTCTCTGCCTCCCAAATGCTGGGGTTAAAGGTGTGTGTCACCACTGGCTGGCCCCCAAAAAAGTTGTTTTTTTCCCATTGATAGTACTAAGTGTTGAACATATGGCCTCACATAGGCTAGCCAAACATTCTGTCACTGACATTCTTACTATCCATGCCCCACCCCAATATTTTTACATGCTTCAGAATGACAGAAAAGCATCACCTCATGGTGGCGCACACCTTTAATCCCAGCACTCAAGAGGCAGACACAGGTGGATCTCTGTCAATTTGAGGCCAGCCTTGTCTACAGAGTGAGTTCCAGGACAGCAGAGAAACCCTGTCTGGGAAGAAAGAAGGAAGGAAGGAAGGAAAGGCAGGCAGGAATCACCCCCACGTCACTCCACGTTCCTCCAGGGTTATCTCGTTATTTTTTCTCTACAAGTGTGTGTAAACCAATGACCAGAACAATGATAATGTGTTTCCCTCACAGGTCATGGAAAACACCCAGGTTATTGACTGGGATGCTGAAGAGGAGGAGGAGACAGAAATACCCAGTGGGTCCTTGGGGTATAGCTTGGAGCCTATAGGGCAGCTGCGTCTCTTCAGTAGTACTCATGGACCAGAAAGAGGTCAGGAGATATTGGGAGCTGAATGAGTATTGGGTCTTGTCTTCTCCTTAGAGGCAGTTGGATCATTGGTAAACCTTATGTATGTTTCTAAGAGGATAATAATTGTTGTACTAGGGATGACAAAGAGGCCACCTGAGTTGACTGTTCCAGGCGGGTACCCTGTACTTTCTGGGAGTGTTTTTCTTTTGTTAGGAGAAAATGAAGAGCTCCGAATAAAAATAGAATGTGGGAGCTGAAGAGATGGTTCAGGGACTAAGAGTGCTTACTGCTCTTGAAGAGGACCTGGTTTAGGTTTGCAGCACCCACATGGTGGTCAAAACCACCTGTAGCTCTGGTTCCAGGGGATCTGATGCTCTCTTCTGACCTTGGGTACCTGAACATATATGGTGGACATAAACTCATGCAGGTGCACACATATACATAAATAATGAGTAAATAAAAAATTTATTTATTTTGAGACAGGGTTTCTCTGTCTAGCTCAGACTGTCCTAGAACTCAGAGCGATCTGCCTGCCACTGCCTCCTCCTGAGTGCTGGGATTAAAGGTGTGTGCCATCACTAAAGGGCATAAAATTTTTAAAAGGTAAAATACATTGTGGCCTAGAAATGGATATGTAACACAACTGAGCAGTATACTTACAATGATTGCGATGGTTAGATTTATATTGTGTGTATTGTTTTTCTTCGAGACAGAGTATATATGTAGCCCTTGCTGTCCTGGAACTCACTATGCAGACTGGCCTCAAACTCACAGAAACCTACCTGCCTCTGCCTTTCAAATGCTAGAACTAAAGTCATGTGCTAATATGCCCAGCCTATATTGTGTATTTTATTACAATAAGAAACTCCCTTTGGGCATGGTGGTGCATGTCTGTGATCCCTGTACTCAGGAGGTGAGGTTGAGGATAACCTAGGCCACATAGCAAGTCCGAAAACAATCTGGGTTACATAGTGAGACCCTGGATCAAAAACAAAGCAAGGGCAGTAGCTCAGGGAAAGAGTGCTTAGCTAGCATGCATGAAACTGTTTTCGGATCTGTTGGAACAATACCGATGAGGTGAGTAGATAGAATATTACAGCAAAGTGATGTATTGTGAATGCTCTTCTACGCTGGTGTGCCCATTGTTCTTAACCCTGTGAGAGCTTTGAGTGAGCAGTAGGTACCATCTTCATTCAGGCCAGGACTCTGCCCTTACTCTTTAATGTTTCTTCTTCTTTTTTTTTTTTTTTTTTTTTTTTTTTTAAGACAGGATTTCTCTGTGGCTTTGGAGGCTGTCCTGGAATTAGCTCTTGTAGACCAGGCTGGTCTCGAACTCACATAGATCCACCTGCCTCTGCCTCCCGAGGGCTGGGATTAAAGGTGTGTGCCACCAACGCCCAACTTAATGTTTCTTCTTGATCCTTAGATTTCCCACTCTACCTTGGCAAGAATGTAATTGGCCGAAGCCCCGACTGCTCTGTGGCCCTGCCTTTTCCATCCATCTCTAAACAGCATGCAGTAATTGAAATCTCAGCTTGCAACAAAGCCCCTATCCTCCAGGATTGTGGGAGCCTCAATGGCACTCAACTGGTAAAGCCCCCAAAGGTCCTAACCCCTGGAGTGAGCCATCGTCTGAAGGACCAGGAATTAATTCTGTTTGCAGACTTTCCCTGCCAGTACCGTCGCTTGGATGTCCCTCCACCTTTGGTCTCTCGGGGACTTCTAACTATAGAGAAGACCCCCAGAATACAGGGAGGGTCCCAAACCTCCAGAGTTTTGTTGGCTGAGGATTCGGAGGAGGAAGTAGGTAAGTTTGTGCCTTGGGTGTATGTGTGTGAAGAGACAGGAATGAGGGTGTAAACTGTCAATTTATTTCTTCCTGTTCTTGCCAGATTTTCCTTCTGGAAGGTATGTGGCAAATGGATCAAGGAATCCAACGTCTCCATCAGCAACAGTAGTACCAGAAAGGTGAGTAGCAAAGTACCAGATGCCTGGATCTTTTGTTTTGTTTTGTTTTTAAACAGTCTCTGTAGCCCAAGCTGGTCTTAGACTCCTGGCAGACCTCTGGGTTCAGTATCAGGATTGGGACGATAGGGTTGAGCTTCCTTAACTGGTTTTAGACACCTCGGCCTTTGAATAAAGAGTCGGTCTTGAATAAATGAGGTGATTATCTTGACAGGTGGAGCCGAGAGCCTAGGCATAATTACTTCCTCAGCTGAATTAAATTATGAAGAGTACTTGTGGTGTGCTCAGTGGGGATGGGAAGACACCTGGCAGCAGTGCCTGCTCACTCTCAGGGCCCTCACAGCGGAGTGGGGTGGCCTATCCAGGGAGTACATTCTGTGGGCTCTCTGTCTTTGCAGTGATGAAGAGGGGTCTTCTCCAGCCCAAAGTGTCCGTGGGCCGTCTTTGCCCTTTGACTTGGGCAGTGACACAGATGAAGAGCTATGTCCACAGCCAGCAGTTGGGGAGTCCTCTTCAGTTGCCAGGGATGGTGCTGCTGCAGAGGCCAAGCAGCTGGAAGCTAATGGAGTGACATCTGGTATCCAGCTGGTACTGGCTCAGCCTGCTGAGCAAAAGCTCAGAGATGCAAAAGTCAAGAGTGAGGCTGGCAATGGAGCGGCTGTGGTTGGGAGGGGCTCCACTGTGGGTAAGGACAGCAACACGGAAATGGGTGAAGAACACCAGCCTTCCGGCTTTGTGGACAGCGATACAGACGTGGAAGAAGACAGGATCCCTGTGACCCCCCCTGTAGTTCCGGGGAAGAAGCAAGTCCTGCTTGGAGTTGGTAAAAAGGACCCTGGAGCACCTGTCGTGACCCATCTGCAGGACAGCCCAGCTGGTCGTGGCACAGGTGTGGAAGAAGGCAAGACTCCAGTGGCTGGCCCTCCAGAGAGAAACCACACGGCCATGGTGATCAGCAGCGACACAGATGAGGAAGATGGAGTCTCAGCAGCAGTCACCTTGGCCCATCTGAAAGACAGGGGGATGGCTCTGTGGAGCAGGGAGCCAGGCATGGAAGAGGTCAAGTCCCAACCACAGGTCCTCGTAGAACGAAGCCAGAGTGCCTCTGGGAAAGACAGTGACACAGACGTGGAGGAGGAAAAGAGAGAAGTGGTCCCTGACAGCCCCATGGACACAGATGAGGCTCTTACTGTCCCACATTCAGAGAGCCAAGCTCCCCATAGAGCCAGTGATGATGTAGACCAGGGTGTGGATATGGGCTCCCCTGGTGGTCAGCTAGAGGGAAACCAGGCCTCCTCTGCCACAGTAGAAGACAGTAGTGCACAAGCAGGGAAGGAAGTCCTGCCTCCTGAGGAGGCCTGGGAAACAGCTGTGGAGGAAGGCTCATCTTCAGCAGCGGCAGATGTAAGACAAAGCAAGCAGCCAGGAGTAGAAGATGCTGGGACAGAGTGGGCTGCAACTGTTTGTGAGCAGGCGAGCATGCTTGAGGTGGGGGTCCAAGGCAGGTCACCTGCTACACTGGTAGAGCCAGTGGTGGTGCCTACAGCTACTCTGGGGGATCCCACTCAGCCACAGAGAGAGGGAGCCCAGACCCCCACAGGAAAGGAGAGAGGAGTACAAATGGGCAGGACCAAGAATGCCAAAGACTGCCGTGATGGTAAGTGCTGCTCTCTGCTCTGCCCTTGACCCCTGAAGTAAACTGGCTGTAAGAGTCAGGAGAGAACTGTAGAAGTCTGAGGGTGAGTTGTCATTCTGTCTGTCTCTTATCTCCTCAGCAGAGTCTGAAGATGTGTGCCTTCCGGCTACCCAGTGCTTTGTAGACAGGGAGGGCCAGAGCTCAGAAGGTGAGGACCTTGTGTTGTTTGGGTCATCTGAGTGCCAGTAAGAGCCAGGGGATTAGATTGGCAGTCCTAGAAAGATGGTATGGCCAAGATGGGGCATGGGGCACAGGCATTCTGGGAGGAGCTGTGCTCCAGCCGTCTTTTCTTGTGCAGCTGTCCAGAGTTTGGAAGATGAGCCTACGCAAGTCTTTCCATGCACTCTTCCCCAAGAGCCTGGGCCTTCCCACCTCAGCCTGCAGACGCCAGGTACAAGATAGTCTCTGTGAGCCCTCAGCCTTGTATCCTTTCTCGTCCTCTTCTGCTGTGTCCTTTAATGCTGTGTCCTGTGTTAGATGTGTCTGTATCACATCATGTCTGTGGGCATGCCTGGTGCCCACAGAGGTCAGTGCTGCTGACTGTTGAGCATCTCTCCAGCCTCTCATACTCTTGTTTGTGTGGAGACGAGGAGCTCATGTAGCTGAGGATGATTTGAACTTGTGGGTCTCCAAGTGCTGGGCATCAGGAAAAAATCCATACCAGGTGTGGTGATACACATTGGGCGGCAGAGGCCGGAGCTCAGGACCAGCCTGGACTACATTGAAAGTTTGAGGCCTGGACTATATGAGACCTTATCTCAAAAAAAAAAAAACAAAAAAAAACAAAAAAACAAGATGGAGCTGGGTTATCCCAGCACTTGGGAGGCAGAGGCAGGTGGGTCTCTGAGTTCAAGGCCAGCCTGGTCTATAGAACAAGTTCTAGGACAGCCATGGCTACACAGAGAAACCCTGTCTCAGGAAGGGGAAGAAGATGGGCTGGAGAACTGGCTGGCAGCTGTTGTAGAGGACAGAGTTCATCCCTGTCAGGCAACTGACAACCACCTGAGAGAGACTCCAGTTTCTGGAGATCAAGGCCCTCTCAGATACACACACACACACACACACACACACACACACACGATATACGCACATACATATGAAGAAACATTTCTAAATACATCTTAAAAGATAAGATAACACATCAAAGCAGATTCCTGGGTCTTACCCTGATTCTAGTTCAGGAGATTTGGGATTGGCCCAGAAACTCAATTTTTGTGTCTACATGCCAGAGGTTGAACTCAGGGCTTTATGCATGCCAGGTGAATGCTCTCCTCAGCCACATACACAGTCCTTATTTTCCAGATGAGCCTCCTGAAGGAGAGATTATAATCTTCTAAATAGTATTCAGTGTCATAACTACCACCCTTACTTCTAGCTTGCCTTAAGTAACCCACTTAGCCTTTTGTGAGTCTTAGCCTAGTTCTTAGCCTTATTGTCTTTTTTACCTGCATGCCTATTTCCTTTTTCTGATCCTCTTTAGGTCCAGGTGCCCAGGATGTGCCTTGGGAAGTCTTAGCTACACAGCCGTTTTGTCTGAGAGAAGCTGAGGCCTCTGAACTGCAGCTCATGGACACCCACCCTGCAGCTCATGAATCCCACCCATCTGTGTCTAGTGCATCAGCAGGACAGCAGCATCTGGTTCACACAGAGCCGCTGGGAATTGAAGGCGGAGAGATGCAAACTGTGGAGAAAGCCATGGGTATACCAAAGAACACAGCAGACAGTTGGGGGAAGACGTGACGGGTGGGGGGAAGAACTCCTCAGGGTGGAGAGGACCAAGGAAGGTGCTGGCTAGAGACAGACAGGGATAGAGTCTGGCTTGGGGAAGGGGGTGGACCCTGAAGGGAGTAAGGAGAGTATGAAGGGAGAAATGGAGATGTGCAAAGACACACAGAAGAGACACAAGTGGGGAAGCAGAAGTGACCCTGGATAGAGGGGCGACAGGGAGGGAGCGAGCCCTGGGTTAGGCATGGGGGACCTTGAGGGACTTGCATCAACCCTGATAGTCTCTGGGAGCCAGGGAGATGGAGGAAAGGGGGACCTTTGAGTCTTGGGAGGCAGCCGAGAGGGAAGCAAGGGCGGCATGCTATGTAACCTCTTAACAGCTGGCCCCTGGGCGGGACCCTGAGCTGCGGGCTGCACAGCACTCATCCTCTCCTGTTTTATTCTCTGATTAGGCCAATTGAGTTGCAAGATGGCATCTGCTGGAGAGGACTCAAGGGTGAGCTACATTTTTGTCCTGCTCCTACTTCACATGTTGTCCCCGTCCCTGCAGCCACATTGCCTAGCCTGCCTTTAATCTGTACCTTTGTTTATAGTTCCTGTTTTCCTAACTGCATGCACATCTATGCATGTTTGTGAGGGTGTGTGTTTGGGGGCGGTGAGTGAGGAAGCCTAGTGACAAGCTGTACGTTATTCTTCAGGAACCACTCAACTTTTTTGAAGGGTGGGGGTCAGGATCCTGAGCTGTCTTAGAATTTGCTGACATAGACTGGGATGCTAGACCAGCAAGCTCTGAGGGCAGTCATATCTACCTGCCTAGCACTGGGTGACAAGCATATGTCACTCTGCCTGGCTTTTATTCCATGGGTTCTGGAGATCAAATTCAGATCCTAGTTGCTTGCTTTGCCTACTGAACTGTTTCCCTAGTCCCACATTCCCGTTTTCTTCATTGTCACTCATTACTTGGCGTCTATTCCTGTGTCCCATTGTTCCCAAGTGGCAGTTCCCTTTATTGACTCACAAATCTCTTTGTGCTACTGCCCTATCTGCCCAGCCGTGTCTTAGTTACTGTGTACACCCACCTGTACAGAACACTGTACTAAAGTTATGAAGAGAGATCCCTTATGGTATCCAAAAGATTGCTTCCTCTCTCAAGGAGTTCCTAGCCTAAAGAGAGGACACAGAAAGAAGTGGCCAGTGAGCATGCTGTGACCATCAACAGAATCAAAGCCAGTCGTACTAACCTAACGGGCCTGTCATCCTAGCACTTGGCAACAGAGGTAGAAGAATAAGTGGAGGACACTGCAGTCACATGAGGCCCTTCTTCAGAAACACTAGGATAGATCAAGATCCATGCTTACCTCTTTTTTTTTTTTAATTATTTTATGTTCATTGGTGTTTTGCCTACACATATGTCTGTGTGAGAGTGTCAGATCCCCATGGAACTGAGGTTACAGACAGTTGTGAGCTGCCATGTGGGTGCTGGGAATTGAACTCAGGTCCTCAGGAAGAGCAGCCAGTGCTCTTAACCACTGAGCCATCTCTCCAGCCTGGCCCACCTCCTTCTTGCTGCCTTTTATCACTTGCTTTTCCTCCTCAGGGTGATCCAGAACCCTCGGCCCATCGCCTGCTTTCTCCAGTTCCTGAAGCTTCTTCTCCACCTCAGAGTCTGCTCACCTCTCAGAGCCAAAAGCCGTCTACACCCCAGTCTCTGTTACTTACCTCTCCCCCTTCTGAGCTACACCTTCCTGAAACTCCTCACACCAAGCCTAATGTCAGGCCTCGGCGGTCCTCCAGGATGACCTCCTCCCCACACTCCTCTGCTGCCCTTAAGCCCTATACTACCTGCCCCACAAACCTGCCTGCTGCCCCTAGACCAACATCTCGGGCTACTCGGGGCAGGGGCAGGGCAAATAGGTCCTCTACCAGGACCCCGGAACCAGTTGTCCCTACAGACTCTGAGCTTCAACCTCCCACCTCCACAGAACAGTCTGTCATCCCCAAACCCACATCTCCAGTCACTCAGGGCAGCATAAATGGTTCCTTTGTTAAAACGCCTGAACCAGTTGTTCTCACAGGTCCCAAAATCCAGCCTCCCACCTCCACAGAACAGCCTGTTACCCCAAACCCCACACCTCAGGCCACTCGGGGCAGGCCACATAGGTCTTCCATCCAGACCCCAGAACCACTTACTCCCACTGGTCCTGACCTCCAGCCTCCCACCTCCACAGAACAGCCTGTCATACCTAAACCCACATCTCGGGCTGCTCGGGGCAGGTCACGTAAGTCTTCTACCAGGACCCCAGAACCAGCTGTCCCCACTGGTCCTGACCTCCAGCCTCCCACCTCCACAGAACAGCCTGTCACACCTAAACCCACATCTCGGGCCACTCGGGGCAGGTCACGTAAGTCTGTCAGAACCCCAGAACCAGCTGTCCCCACTGGTCCTGACCTCCAGCTTCCCACCTCCACAGCTCTGGGCACTTTGGGAAGGGCATGTAAGTCCTCCATTGAGGATTCTGAATCAGTTGGACCAGTAGCCTCTGATTTTGAACCTCCCATCTCCACAGACCTTGTTGCCCCTGAGGTGACAGGTCAGAGCATAACACTAAAGTCTTCACCACTAAGTGCTTCTCCAGTTTCTGCCACCTCTGAACTCCAGCCACCTGTCCCCACAGCCCAGCCTGTTCTCCTGGAGCCCATTCCTCAAGCCAACCACCGAAGGCGGCGGAAGGCTGCTGGGAAACGGGGCTCCCACACAGTTCCCATTGGCCAAAAGCCTTACTCTGCACCCTCTGAACCTGGTTCCCAATCTTCAATCAATCAAGGCTTGGCATTGGAAGCCGCTGAGTCTATTACTGTTGCTCCTGAGCCTGCTGTTTCCCAGGCTCCAGAGACCTCCACTCAGAATCCCGTGGTGCAAAATGAAGCAGCTGGGAGATCAGGGCTCATTCCCAAGCCCCAGCCTGAGGTTTCTCGATCCCGCAAGAAGCCTTCTACTACCACAACCTCACCAATTCAAAAACGTCCCCGAAGACAAATACCCCAGAAGACAATAGTCCCCAAGGAAGAAGATCCTGAGGAAATGCCAGTGAAGGAAGAGGTAAGAGTACAGACAGCTGGGGCCCCTAGGTAGGAGCAAGAGTTATAGGAAGGACTCAAACGCCCAATGTGATGTTTTTTAGCCTCAGGAGATAGCAATTCCAACACCCGGCAAAAGAAAGAGGGACCGTGTAGAGGATGAGACCCAGGGAAACCCAAGTCGGAGCCGGCGGGCTAAACCTAACCAAGAAGCAGCAGCCCCCAAGGTAGGAGATGAGGGGCTGGGGACTGAGAGGTGAGTGCTGCTGATGAGGGTTGCTGTGACCACCTTCACTCCATCCCCCAGGTACTGTTCACAGGAGTTGTGGATTCTCGGGGAGAGCGTGCAGTCCTGGCTCTGGGTGGCAGTCTAGCCAGCTCAGTAAATGAGGCCTCCCACTTGGTCACTGATCGCATCCGAAGAACGGTCAAGTTCTTGTGTGCCCTGGGGAAGGGCATCCCTATCCTCTCCCTGAACTGGCTGTATCAGGTAAGAAGCCAGAAGACGAGGAGTGGCAGGAAAGGAAAGGCCCGCTCACCTACCCTCAAGGAAGCAGTGGGAGGAAAGGAGGTGGAGAATGGAGCACCCGTGAGGCCAAGACTGCTTTGAATAGATATTTCTTGTTAGGGCCTGAATGAATCAGTGGTAGAGCACTTGCCTAGCATGCTTGATGTCTTGGGGTCATTCCTCAATACTGTGGAGGAGAGGAAGACACAAGGAGTTTTCAGATGAAAAGGTGTCCTGCCCGTTCTTTCCCTTAGTCCAGAAAGGCTGGTCACTTCCTGCCACCTGATGACTACTTGGTGACTGACCCTGAACAAGAGAAGAACTTTAGCTTCAGCCTTCGGGACTCCCTGAGCCGGGCTCGGCAACAAAAACTGCTGGAGGTGAGAGGCTGCCTTCTGCACCATGCTTCCCTACTACCCCTGGTACCCCCAAGAGGTTTCCCAATCGCCTTAGCCTCTCAGTGCAGACATCTGTCTCCACCACTCCTCTTCCTTAGGGCTATGAGATTTACGTGACCCCTGGAGTGCAGCCACCCCCACCTCAGATGGGCGAGATCATCAGCTGCTGTGGGGGCACCAACCTGCCCAGCATGCCCCAGTCCTATAAGGTAGGGCAGGCCTGGCCTGGCCTTAGCAGTGGGGAGAGCACAGGGTGGAGGGAAGGGAAGAGGCGCTGACACCAGTGGGCTTAGCTGTGTTTCCAAGTAGCCAGGTGTGGTGCCACACCACACATTGGCATTACAGCTCTGCAAGAGGAGCAGAAGTTCTAGGGATATACGCATGTGGAATAGCAGTCTGGACTGCATGGGACTCTGTTCCCCCACCCCCCAGATATTTTTTTTAATCTATATTATGTACAGAGAATAGGGACTGGAGAGATGATGGCTCATTGGTTAAGAAACTTGTTGCTGTATCCTGAGCACGAGATCCCAGCACCCACATCAGGTGTCTTACAAACACTAACTCCAGTAAAAAGGAATTTGAAACCCTCTGTCTCCCAAGTGCTGGAATTAAAGGCAAACAGACACACACACACACACACACACACACACACACACACACACTTATGTGTCAATATTTTCCAGATTCTTTTCGAGAATGTATTTTATTACAATTCCTCATATTTGTTTAATTTACTTATTAAGACTTATTTATTGCCTGGCATTGGTGGCACATGCCTTTAATCCCTGCACTTGGGAGGCAGAGGCAGGCAGATCTCTGTGAGTTCAAGGCCAGCCTGGTCTACAAAGCTAGTTCCAGGACAGCCAGAACTATTACATAGAGAAATCCTGTCTCGAAAAACAAACAAACAAAAGTTACTTATTTTATGTGTGTAGATTTTTCACCGGATTGTATGTCTATGCACCATTTGTGTACCTGGTGTTGGTAGAGGTCAGGCACTGGTCAGGCACTCCTGAAACTGGAGTTACAGATTGCTATGAGCACCATGTGGGTGCTGGGAACCAAACCTGGGTTCTCTACAAGAGCAACAGGTGCTATTAATTGCTGAACCTCTCCACTCCCATTTATTTTAATTTAAAAAAAAGTCCATATACTTTGTATTCATATGCAATAGTTTCAATTATGCAACTCCCCCCCCCCCCCAGACAGGGTTTCTCTGTGTAGCTTTGGAGCCTGTCCTGGAACTCGCTCTTGTAGACCAGGCTGGTCTCATTTCTTTTTCTTTCTTTCTTTTTTTTTTTTTCCGAGACAGAATGTGGTGATATTTATGGTTTAATAAAGATTGCCTGAAGTATCAGAATGCAAAGCCAGCTACACTATTTAGCCATAGAAGCCAAGCGGTGGTGGTATACACCTTTAATCCCAGGACTCTGGAGACAGAGGTAGATGGATTTCTGTTAGCTCAAGGCTACATTGAACTGCATGAGATTGATCCACTCTAAAAGAGAAACAGCCCATACAAAGGTCTTAGCACTTGGGATCCCATGCCTTTAACCCCAGGACTTGAGAGGTATAAAGGGAAGAAGCAAAGGGTCACATGTGGCAGTCAGTCTCCAGCCATGCTGAAGGAGAGCATAGCAGTCTGGGATTGCATTCTGATGATTGGTGGAGATGGGATCTCACAATTTAGTCTGAGCTAGACGTCAAGAGCTAGTGGCTTAACTGCTTTGCTTAACTGACTGTCAGCTTGAACCCCAATATCTCTGGGTTTTTAATATTTGTGTTACAACAGGGTTTCTCTGTAGCTTGGAGCCTGTCCTGGAACTCGCTCGGTAGACCAGGCTGGCCTTGAACTCACAGAGATCCGCCTGCCTCTGCCTCCCAAACATTGAAGAACTCCCATTTCTTAAAAACCAAAAAGCCAGAGTTCATATAAAGCCTATATATTTGCTGGGCAGTGGTGGAGCACACCTTTAATCCCAGCACTCAGGAGGCAGAGGCAGGGGGGGGTCTTTGGGGTTTAAAC